ATTTTCCTTTCTTTATCAAACTTTCACCCACTAGTTTTTGTATCCATTGATGATTTTTGCCTAAATTGATTATTAGTTTGAAAATTGCATAAAAGGTTATTTTTTATTATTCTTTCTGTATTTAATCGTGTATGTTCTACTGTAAAGATAAATTTTATTTTCTCTATTTATTCATTATCAGTATGGATTTATTAATTGAATAGATTATAATCCATTCAGATTTATTTTAATTAACAATAATGCCAGATGTGGTCAGTAGGATTCCCTTCCAGCTGGCTTATATGCATGTCTTTTTTGATGTCTCCATAATTTTTTTTAGCACATTTTTACTTTCTGACACAAGATGTTCAAGGCTCATCTTGTACTTTCCTTCCTCAGCACTGGAATCAGCCATTTCTCTAAGAACCCTTAGTTTCTTTTAGGGATGGCATTTAGCAACCTAGATTTGGCACTAGGTGTGCTCATTGATATTAAAGTGTCATTAATTTCTAGTCCTTTTAGTGAATAGAGCTAGGGATATATCTTGTGAGTGATAAATTTGTACTAATATGTACCTCCAATTCCAGTACAACCCCCAAAAGTTCTTCTTTGCTTTTCCTCATTTCATATTTGTAGCTCCCTTCTTCCACGTGAGAATCCTGGTTCTCAGCAACTTCAATGTTCTCACATATTATATTCCACACAGCATACTGTCAGAACAGCTCCGCTCATACCACTAAAAATAAACCTACTTAGTGGAGTTCAAGATTTGCTTGTACTTTTTTTTCCTTTAGAGTAATGGTATATAATCACAGTAGTGTGTTCATATTCAAATTAGTTTTTTGTTTAATGTGGTTGTTTCTCATTTGAAATAGTCAGGCTCCCCTTTTTTCTGTTTGTATTTGATTTAAGTTATTTTCCCATTCTTACTGATTTTATTTGTAAAATTTAAAATTTATTTATTTATTTTAAAATATGTTTTTAAGGATTTTTAGAGAGGGTAAGGGAGAGGAAGAGGGGAGAAGGAGAAGGAGAGGGAGAGAGAGAGAGAGAAATATTGATGTGAGAGAAAAACATTGATTGGTTGCCCCCCCCCCCCAGCCATAGGCACCCAAACCTGGGCATGTGCCCTAACCAGAAATCGAACTGGTATACCTTATGTGCATTGAGCATCTGCCCCCTGGTAGTCAGTGCGCTCATAGCAACCGGTCATTCAGCCGTTCGTTTGATTTGCATATTACTCTTTTTTTAAAAATATATATATTTTATTGATTTTTTACAGAGAGGAGGGAGAAGGATAGAAAGTTAGAAACATCGATGAGAGGGAAACATCGATCAACTGCCTCCTGAACACCCTCTACTGGGGATGTGCCTGCAACCAAGGTACATGCCCTTGGCCGGAATTGAACCTGGGACCCTTGAGTCCGCAGGCTGACACTCTATCCACTGAGCCAAACCGGTTAGGGCTTACTCTTTTATTATATAGGAGGATACTTTACCAGAAAATAAAAACAAAACAAAAAGAATGGGAGCAAGTTCCTGGCTTCCACTCTGGCCTATGAAATAAAAACTTTGAGAAGAAGAGTCAGGGATGCAGTAGGAACCGGCAAGCTCTCCAGGTGATTGATATAAAAACTTAAGAATACTGATACAGACCACATGCAATACACCTTGTTTTATCCCTTTACAGCAACCTACACTTTTCACTTTGTGATCAGCTTGTAATTTGGCCAAAAGCTTCAGGAGGGCAGGAATTATGCTGTCTTGTTCAGTGTCGTGTGCCCAGCATCTAGTATAACACCTGGCTTAGAGTGGCACTCAGTGTATATTGACTGACCTACTTTATTTGAACATGAGTCTTATATTCCTGGTTTGTAAACTTAGTATAATAATTATCTTGAGTGGTGACATGAAAGTTTGAGATAACACTACACATAAAGAACCTCTTGCCAAAACCGGTTTGGCTCAGTGGATAGAGCGTCGGCCTGTGGACTGAGAGGTCCCGGGTTTGATTCCGGTCAAGGGCATGTACCTGGGTTGTGGGCACTTCCCCAGTGGGGGATGTGCAGGAGGCAACTGATCGATGTTTCCCTCTCATCGATGTTTCTAGCTCTCTATCTCTCTCCCTTCCTCTCTGTGAAAAATCAATAAGATATATTAAAAAAAAAAGAACCTCTTACCATGTCTGATGCATAGTAAGAGTTTGATCACCAGAAGTGCATTATTAATATGATTTGTGTTGTTTTTAGGAGGAGAAAGATTATATTCTGGATTTACATCAGGAGTGACAGAAAAAAAAGAATATTTCAATTACAAATAGTGCTGAAATAAACAACTGTGCACATATATTCTCTTAATAGTAGAAGTATAATTGCTGGATCAAAAGGTAAATGTACCCCTGGTTGGTTTGGCTCAGTAGATAGAGTGTTGGCCCATGGGGACTGAAAGGTCTTAGGTTCAGTTAGGGTCAAGGTTGTGTGCCTCTGTTACAGGTTCGATCCCTGGCCCTGTCGTTTCTCTCTGTCTCTCCCCCTCCCTTCCACTCTCTCTAAAAATCAATGAAAAAATATCCTCAGGAGAGGATTTTAAAAAAAAGTAAATGCATTTGCATATTTTTAGATATTGCCAAATTACCTTTCATAGATGCAGCACTTTGCATTCCCACCAGCAATGTATGAGGATGCAAATTTTCCCACAGCCTTGATAAAAGCTTCTACTGAATTTTGCCAAGTGAGATAATGAATGTCTTTGTATACTTTAAAAATTTACCTTACTTTTTATATGTCAAATTTACATGCAGTAAAACTTGCTTTTTTTTGGTGTACAGTTCTGTGAGTTTTGACAAGTGCATAGGAATGTGTAACCACTCCAACAATTAAGGACAGAACAGTTTCAAATCACAAATATATGTGGCCCTTCTTCCAAACTCCAGTACCTGATAACCACTAACCTGTTCTTTTCCTATGAGTTTGCCTTTTCCAGAACATCATATAAATGGAATCATACTGTATGTCTCATTGTATTTTTCTTATTTTGAATGTCTGTAAACATTTTTAATTTTTAAAATATCTCTCGATTACATCTCTTTTTTTAAAATACATTTTTATTGATTTCAGAGAGGAAGGGAGAGGGAGAGAGAGAGAAACATCAGGAATGAGAGAGAAGCATTGATTGGCTGACCTCCTGCATTCCCCCTACTGGGGATCGAGCCCGCAACCTGGGCATGTGCCCTTGACTGGAATCGAACCCGGGACCCTTCAGTCTGCAGGCTGACACTCTGTCCACTAAGCCAAACCAGCTAGGGCTCTATTGTATCTCTTCACTTCAGAACCAGCTATTTTCTTTTCTATACTCACTTTCTTGACTCTTCAACATAATGACATTATTTTCCTCTGTGTGCCTGAGTTTACCAGCAGAGCGTAAAAGAATAGTCTGATGATGTTCCACATTATCAAAATAAATCTAAATTACAGGCAATTGATTTTATTGTGTTTTTCCTCTTGAATATATTATTATTCCCTATTAAAATCATCCCAGTTTTACAACTCACTATGATAAACATAACTGGGCCAAATAAATGGAAACTTCTTCAGTTATGTAGGGTTTCTATTATGTTTTATTTTTATTTTATTTTTTAAAATATATTTTATTGAATTTTTACAGAGAAGAAGGGAGAGGGATAGAGAGCTAGAAACATCGATGAGAGAGATCGATCAGCTGCCTCCTGCACGCCCCCCAGTAGGGATGTGCCCGCAACCAAGGTACATGCCCTTGACTGGAATCGAACCCAGGACCCTTCAGTCCGCAGGCCAATGCTCTATCCACTGAGCCAAACCGGTTCGGCTCTATAATGTTTAGATAGGGTAATTGGACGTTTAATGAAAGTTATGACACAAATAACTTTAAAAAGACAGAAGTGTTTCCTTACAACCTTAGTTTTGCACCCATCCGCCAAACAAAATAAATTTAAAAAGGCATTTTCTCTGTATAACCTAAAATTTAAGTCCCTGTTGATGCCTCAAGTAATAAGTGTGCTAAAAGAAGATTGAATTTATTTAGGGAAAGGGGATGGGAGATGGGATATCCAAAGGGAAGGACTGCACAGCACCCAGCCAAGGGGTCATCAGGTAGATGATAACACCCAGGAGCTGGGGTTTCTTCCTTATATACTGTCCCTGGTGGGAAACTTGCCTTCAGTGGGTTTGGAGGCTGAGCTGGTGGGCTTGGAATGTGGATGGAATGCAGGTGTGCAATCAGATGCCTCCAGGACAGTTTCTATTCTTGTATGGTCTGACTCTTGGTGTCCAGCGAGTTTTTCTTGGTCTTTTGTTCTCCTGTGGCAGGAAGCTTACAAATAGCCCTTAAGGACTGTATTGCCCTACAGTCCTAACAATAAGATGTTTAACTTTTAAAATGTAATGAATAAACAAGAACTTTAAAAATGACTTTATTTTTTATTTTATTTTTATTTTTTTTTACACTAAACAACCTACAGTGCTGTTTTCTCTAAAAATGACTTTGATGTCCGCTCTGTTCAGCACCTCCCTGGGACACAAAAGGTATTCAACAATCATCATTGATCGACAGCCTCCTGAATGCCCCCCACTGGGTATCGAGTCCCCAACCTGGGTGTGTGCCCAGACCTCTTGGTGATCGGTTAACGCTGAGGCAACTTTAGTGCTTTTTAAAATTATTATCTTGATTTGAAATATTTTGGTGGTAGAATGAGGGACTAAGAAAGATCCTATCAATCACATGGCTAGGTCCAATTTTTCTACAATATTACACGAAAGAGGTGGATTTCAGACTTCTAAATGAGTCTCCGCGAAAAAGTCCCCATTTTATCAAGCGTAAGCCATCTTGGGCTCTGAAAAGCCGCAAAGCCTCTCAACTGCGCATGCGTGTTCGAAGAGCCCCGAAGCGCGACTTATTTCCGTAAATGAAAGGGCGAGGCAGCATCCTAGCGGACCAATGAAAAACCTCCAGATTATCCTTTTTCTATTGGCTAACAGAAACCAATTAGAAGTGAACGGTCTTTAGCGGGCGTCTCACAGTTGACCGCCCTGACGTAATGTGAGAGGGCCACTGGTAAGGCTGAGCTAGACCAATGAGGAGGACCATGGGGCTGGCTTCCTTGTTCTCACGCCCAACCAGCAGGCCCAGCCGAGGAAAGTTTCCCTTTATCAGGGAGAGGAGCAAACATGGCAGCGCGTCCGTGGGTTTGGTGTGTCTCTGCAACCATTGCAGTGGCCCTGCTGCTCCTATATGGGGTTCCCTCAGCCTCTGCCCAAAGAAAGAAGGAGGTGAGGATGCTGTTTTCAGCAACACGGGCTTTTCCCAATGAGTGGGGCTTGAGAGGGTCTGTTCTCTCCTTCCTGACTCCTTTCCCTGTCGGTTCTGTCTTAGGTGCCTCCAATTCCGCCCTTTTGGGAGTTGGGGGGTTTGCAAGAGAAGAAACTAACTGCTTGTGTTCTGGGGATGTTGAGTCTGAGAGTGGGTTTGGGTATGTGACACCTTGGCTTCTCTAGGCCTGTGCGTGTACACAGCTACAAGTTTCGATACTTTTTTGAGTATGGGCCCTATCAGGTGGTGGGGGAAGTTCGACTTTAGGTCCAGCGGGTAGAATATCTAGTCTTCTGCTGTCAGAAGATGTAACTCCCGTTATAGACGTCTAAGAGCAATTTATAGCATTTCCACTTAAGATATGTAAGACAAGAAAAAAGAGAATTGTAAGACTTAAACTGAAGAGCGAAACTATGCCAGGTTTATCAAATTTTCCAAATAATTCAAATCAATTTATGGGAGTGAAAGCTATTGAACCATTTTCAGTCATTTAACAAATATCAAGCGTGCCAGGCACTATTCTAGGAGCTTGGTATTCATAAGTGAACAAAACTAAGATCCCTCCTTGTGAAATTTACTGGTTTTAGCGAGTGGAGGAGATAACAATATTCTTTATTCACAATTAAGCAATCCAAACAGGAATTTTAACACTGTTGAAATACTAGAGACTTAGAGCCATATGCTCTTAGAGCTTTACAGTTACTAGCAATAGTTTATGCTCTCCAGTTTTATTTTTTATAGATGAGGAAGACCAAGTGCTAACCTTACACAGTTAAATTGCAGAACAAGACCTAAAATCCTAGGCCAGTCTCATGCTATTTCCTGTACATTTCTGTGCTTCCTCTAATACACAATACCTGTGCATGTGCTTTTAAAATCCCATTTAAACATCTCAGATGCTTGTCAACTTGAGCTGAATTTAAAAAGATCCCATCTTTTGTTTCTGAATATTTGAATTCTTCCGCAAGCAGGGG